CTGGGATCCCCGTGGATAGTCCCAACATTTTCTCGTTCCGAAGTTCCTCTCTACGACTATTTCGGTTCATAAGCTGAATCGCGGAAATAGCCTAGCCTAGCCCCTGGCCTAGAGCGTAGGCTTGACCGGCTGTAATAGCAGCTTTCTCAAGGATCCTTCGGGACGTCACGTTTTCGTGTCTCACAAATTGGAGATAGCGGGAGATTAATTTCTCGCGTCTGAACGGTATTTGTATGACGTGTTTCTTCGCTAGCAACAATATTATGCGGATGCTGGTCCGTTGTAGACGTGATATATTTATCGCATAGCCGACCGACAATTGACGGACTCCCGAGGATCGCGTTGTTCGCAGAAATAACCCCGTGTCTGCTGCATTTGCCTTCGTGAAATTATTAATACTTCGCACGTTCATTTTGTTCCATCCTTCTTTGTCGGATAGAAAGCACTTTTCCTAGTGTTCGAAAATATTGGAACGAAATATTTCACGTACATTGCATACCGCGTGCCCGTATCTATTGCGAAATATATAAAAAATATAAAGCTATAGCTTTGAACGATAAAGCATCCTCAATTTATTCCTCCGAAAGAGTGCTGGCGAAAATAAAAGCCAAAGGAAAAACTAACGGTATATAATATTAGAATTGTTATAAAAGTAAATATGATTTTTCAATAAAACGGTTATTAATTTATTTTTTATTACATGTAGCCTTCTATATATGTAAAAAAAATAGTATGAAGCATCTCCAAAAATTGAAGTTTTACTCATGTTGTTATTCTCTTTTTTCTAAACTAAAAATTGTTTTTTAACTGGATAGATCGCACTTTAACAAAATTTTAATCGAAATTTAATTATTTGAGGTATTTAATTTTGAAAATTGAGTGACAAATTGATAAGTTCAAAGAGATTTTCTATGAAATTTTCTCTAAGTAGAAATCGATTCGACATTTATCAAGACATTTAATTTTGAAAATTTAGCGATAAATTAATAAATTCAAAAGGATTTTATATAAAATTTTTTTTTCTCTAAATAAAAATTGATTCGACATTTATGAAGCTAAAGAGGTGCTACGTATTAGGTAGATATACAAAGAAGTCAAAGTTGACTCTCGGCGCATATTTTTATCATCCCCAGCGTGTCCGTAATCGACAGCAGCCCTTGCCTTCATGTTGCATCTCGTAATATTCTTCTTATCATTGCGTAATAATACATCTTTCGCATGCTCTTAAAGGAATGAGCCTACTTTGCCCTTTCCCACGGCTTGAAATATCTTTGGCAAACCAATGAAGCACGGCATGTACATAGATTTTCCAGAGGTATCTATATTTATTATTATACGATTAAAATATCTGGTTCGATTGGTCGTATTAGAAACACAGTTTTAAAAAAATGCATCTTTCTTTACGCAAGAATTAATTAAGTCTTTTATTAAATAATCAATTTCCATTTATTAATTAATTTTGTAATTGTAAATTTTGATTTTTTCATATACGAAAATAGAATAAAACGTATACCAAGACAGAATAAAAAGATAAAATTAAGTTAGAAGATATATGTATTCTGAACTGAAATTCCTTATAAATGTGGATAAAATCAGGAACGGTAGAAAAATCATAGAGTTTGCGAATTTGTCTACAATCTCGAGGTAATATCCAGTCCATATCCCTTGACTCCACTTCCGAGTGATCTGTCTGTGACAGAAATCGGTGATAACGTAACGACAATAACATAAAGCCGATCTCATCAACTCCGATTAACTTAATCGATCGTTTGTTACTCGAGGAGGTAACCACTAGCTGAAATATTGTCCCACAGATTACATGAGTTCATATGATTTCATCTGAATATAAATCATTTTTTTTTACTACATATATGGAGTCATTTGTTAAAATATACGATTTTATTTAATATTATACAATGATTTCTCGTGATTGCATATGATAATTATCGAATTATACATAGAGATTTCATATAAATTTTATAATGACTTCGAGGACTCTGTCCAATGATTGAGTGATTACCCCTTTGTTGAAACTGATCAATCTCATTTGCTGTTCAGCAGAATTGACCAATCACGACTGACACTTAGCGTTTTCGGCCCAATCGGGTTTGCACCAACATTGGTGTGATTAATCTTTCCTATTGGTTGACGTCACCCGCTCTACCAATAGAAGAGTACAAAACGTCATTAATCCAACCCAGGTTGGTGCAAACCCGATCGGGCCGAAAACGCTATTAGATTCAGTTTCACAACTCACAATAGCGAATTTGACTGGACGCACTCAGCGTGCACTGGTGCACATTAAAGCCGTTGTACACAAAATAACGTGAAGATATGTCTATAAATAAACATAATAACCCAGGTTGGTGCAAACTCGATCGGGCCGAAAACGCTATTAGATTCAGTTTCACAACTCACAGTAGCTAATAACGAATTTGACTGGACGCACTCAGTGTACACTGGTGCACATTAAAGCCGTTGTACACAAAATAACGTGAAGATATGTCTATAAATAAACATAGAAATCAATTAAATCGTGAAATACTCAATTAATTTTATTGTACTATTAGATAAAATATGTATTTCATAATTCGAAATATCTGCATTTCATTTTTATACTCAAGTTAAGTCAGTGTACAATGCTTTAATATGCACCAGTGTGTACTAGTGCTTCCAATTGAATTCGCCATAACTCTTAACCGAGGTTTATTAACTTATCAAATTCTAGAATTGAAAAGAGATGAAGGATAAGTTGAACCTCGCGGTTAAGAATTAACCGTGAGTTCTGGAAATGATTGTGAGCCATCAACTGATTCGGTTAATCAAAATTGGTGAGATCAATCCACAGCCTCGTGCTACTATAATTTGCTACTATCAGGGATCTTGGGAATCCGATAATCTCGCACGGGCATAGTCGCGCACACTCGCGTGAGCTCAACGCCAAGTCCAGCCCCGAACGTATCCTTGCGACTATTTTCGCGTTACGTGTTTCGACATGATAGATGAGACTTTTCTGCGTTTCATCGACGTCGCGTCGGGTCGCGCGGTACCTGCCAAAGATTCCCCGGCTCCGTAATAGAGAACGACGAATAATTTAGGATCACGGACGATACCTGTCGTGCATGCTTGTCGCAGTAGTCGAGATTTTTTTTTTCGAGGAAAACCATACATGTACTTGCAAACTATGTTATGAATTAAAGTGATTGGGGTTTGTTAATGAGTTATTTCGGAGATGCTTGCATATTACACTTAAATCAAAAAGATTTGAAAAGATAATAGAAAAATTAATTTAAAATTCAAGAATTTTTAATTAAAAAATTAAGAAATTCAGAATTTAAGTTTTTCTATATTTTTATCTTGAATATATTTATACTTTATTTTATTTACAAAAAGTTTATTTGGCTAATATTGGTTTTCCGATATTGGACCAATATTGGGACCTCAATATTTGATCAATATTGGCTATACATTGGTTTTCCAATAGTAAAATACATGTTTTAACATAAATAATTACATTTCGGCATTATCTAGGATGGAGATATAGTCCGCTTGGCAAAAAAATTTTAAATAAAGAGAATAAAAAAAGAGGAATGCCAAGCGGACTATGCCTCCACGTGGTGTATTCTAAATAACGTCAAAATAATCTGAAATGTAATTATGTATGTTAAAACACTATAAAATAAATTATAATTATGATTATAAAAAATTAATTACAATTCTTTTACATAAAAGTGATTATAATTCAGAGACGACTTTCCTGACCTAAGTTTACATAGCTTTTTTTCCTTCTTTTTCCAGAATCACTTCCCGAAGTATTGTGGGCGATTTTCCGGACATCCTGTATATGTAATCAATTGTCGAAATTTCTAGAGCAAACTGTATATTACAGGACAAAAATTGCCTTCAATTAAGTATTTTTTAAGCAGATCGATTTTTTTACAAGATCGATTAAAAGTTGACCGAATTTTTCATTATCGCCCACTTGATTATCATTGATGTCTTGTATATCATAATGTACTATCCATATGGTATAATTATTATCACAATAATTGAAATGATTTATTTTTTAAGTTTATCACAATGAAAATAGGAATCGAAACTGGAATTGAACGTGAAAAGAGATTATAGCGTGTATAAATAGAATGAAAAATCTGAACGCTGATTGGGCTATAAGACTATAGACACAAAACAGAATTCCAACTCATCGGAAATTTGTCGCTATCGCCTTATTGTTGGATTCCTATCGCTATCGCTATGTCTATCGAGTATCGCTATTGCCTCGCATTATGTGCCTTAAGGAGGTTGTAAAGGCATAAAATACATACCTATATTAATATTTTCGGTTTAAACAAACTACATACATGTGAAATTTGTGTTCATAACATTCTGGTTTTATTGAGCAACACATTTTTATAGGTTATTTATTTTATTTGTTATTAGTTTTATTGTTATAAACAAAAATTGTTAAAATAATAAGAAAAATCTAAATGTTTTTATATAGATATATTAAGTACTAAACATGACTTATGCAAAGTTTCATTGAGATTCACCATTAGTTTATAACAAATAACAAATTTTATTTATTTACTGAACAATTAATGTCTGCATCTCAAGATAACTTCACAAAAATACTGTTGAATTCCTAGAGTATTTATATTAAAAAATTAAGATTTTTATCATTATTTTATAATACATTTTCATATATTTATATTAGAGTACAAATTTAAAAAATATTACTACTTATTTAAATAACTTTTGATCCAGATGGTCATTTGTCTCTATTTTTTTTTTATTATTATTAAATGAAATTTAGAATAGTCTGTAATTTTTTCAAGTAGTTCTTAACATATTGCATTTGCCTTACAACCTCCTTAAGTAATGATGGTACATTGTACAAAGCGCCTTATGGGAATCCACGGCAATGAAATTTACTAGATGGCGTGATTGAAGTGTTGTCCCTCTTGTGCACTGTTCTTTCGCCACTAGGAGCAGTTGTCCGTCAAGTTAAGATGGTTGAACTTGTAAGAGGTTGCGTGAAAGGTAGTTCTCATCATTTGCCAAATAAAATAGTTCTCTTCTACAAGGGAAGAAACGCCGCGAGTTGTTAATTTATTTTAATCCTTGCGTGATACATAACAATAGCAACGTGGTAGCAACGAATAATTAATCGTTTCATCTTGAGCATCATGATGAAAACCTGACAGCAACAGAAAATATATAATGATCTTCATCCGTTGTTGTAAATATGTTTTATTATTCATATAGAAAAGTTTTTTGCAATTAAAGTAGAACAATTCGCAATAACATCAAAATAACGTTAAATCGAATCGTAATTGATTTAAAAAATGACTTTTAGTAAACGTTTTGGAGCCATTTTAACATCATAATTTTTTGTTCTGTTTAAATGTGTTTTTCAATTTATTGCATATGATAGATTTTAGAAATATTTCTGTTAAAACATTTCATATGACATATCGCAGAATCCTTTTAGAATTGTTGCATATGAAATGTGAAAGATTGAAACATTTTTAAAAACTTTCCGCAATAATCGGTGCTATTTGAGTGATCAATTAATCAAAATAGTTGGCGATATAATTACCATTTTTTTGAGAAATACTTTAAGTTTATTTTAATCTGTAAACAGATCACAAAACTCTTAATAAATTTTAAAATATACTTCAGAAATAATATTTAAATTAAAACTAAGTCTCCGAAAGCTCAATAAAATATAATTTGAAAAAACATAGTGTCTATAAAAGGGTAATGAACTTAGCACCCTGACTGCAACTAGCTTTTTACTTTAACATTTACAATATAATAATTCTCTCCAAACGTTTCGGTTCTCACAGAACCATTCTCAGTGCACAAAAACTTACAATAACATAATTCTAGTCTTCATTATTAATATTGATACGCTGTTCTATGAAAACCTCCAAATTCTTCTTCCATTACGAAGTTGCTAAGGTCTTATTCCAACGTCGGTTACTCCAAGAATTATCATTCGAAGTAAATAACCGATAAAAATCTAATTGCACTGTCAGTGTGCTAAGCTTATTACCCTTTTATAAACACTTTATTTTTTCAAATGATATATAAATTATTATGTTTCATTGATACTTAAACAGTATTTAAATTTATTATATAAGTACTAGAAATAGCTGAAATCTTTTTGATAATATTTCAAAAAGATTGCAGATTCTTCCTGTAACATTTCAGCAATCTTTCAACAAGGTTTCATGTGCAAGAATCGTGGACATTTTGCTATTCGGAGCTGTCTCAGACATGTTGCAGATATATTTCGTAACTTTTATGAAATGTTTCACTTTTCAGTTAAAACATTTTTGAAATATTTCTGTGCTGTATGGAAAATGATCTCGAATCTAACATTTAATTTAGCATTATAAATTAATAATTGTAGAATGTTCTCTCTTGACAATTCAGAGAGGCATAAATTTATTCGCTCATGATGTAACGTTATGTGTCATGCAACAACCATGACGTTCATGAAACCGTGACGTTGCCTTCCTCAAGATAGACAGAGACCGATCTTTAAAGTACGGCAGAATTCCTGGGGATGTCAGCACTCACATCTCAGCCTTCATTCATTCGCTATTTTTATTCGACTCTTAATACGTTTAGATATAAAGACAATAGTATCACCTGACAACTTTGACGTTAAGAAAAAGAAAATTCATAGTTAATCTCCTTTGTCTTTTTAAATTCAATTTAAACATACGTGCTTGTGGTACAGAATCCTCAAAATATTATAGATAGGTACTAGAAAGTCTTTTTTAATTTTTTAAATGCATTTCTGTTTTTTTTTTTTTAGGAAATGTTAAAGAAGAATTGCAGCTGCTCAATTTGCTTAGTTTCTTTTTGAACCGTTTTTATAGTAGAACCTTCTTTACTGTTTTGTCCCGTTTTTAATCTATAATAATGTATATAAAGAATCTGTTAATGAAATTTATTCAATACGCTTTTATGTATCGTCGATAAATAACAGAGCTAAATGTCTCGCTATTTTGTTGAATCCTCACTTGTTATTTTTTATAACGAATATTTTTATAACTTTATGTTACCTCAACTATACGTTTTATCTTAATATTTTCATATTTAATCTCAGTAATATAAAGACTTAGGACCCTCGCAAGAATGCAAAAAATCCGGATTCGACTCCCGGCCGAGGTAATATTTTTCGCAATAATATATATAATTAATTATTTACAGATTCTAATATGTCTTTTAACATTATAAGATCGTGCGAAAAAGCATCAAAATTGTTAAATTGCTAGGCAATTTAATTCGTGATATTACTGCGGTAGTTTAGTAGAGTTAGCGTTTTAAAGACCAAAAAATCATATCGATGTACGTTTCAAAAGACTACATACGTAGTATATAAATTCACACAGAATCATAGAATCATTTAAGATCCAGCTAGATCGTTTAAGGCATTGATTGCTATAGTTCGTGTTATTTTCATATTCGTTTTATAACAATTTTCTTTTTTATTATTAAAGATAAACAGTTTATTTCCTCAAAAACTTTGCAACAACGTAAACGTACATACTGACGATAGGCCCCACAAATGCGGAGAATGTGATAAAGCGTTTAAAAATAAACGGAATTTGCGCGAACATGAGAAAGTCCATAAAGGTGAAAAACCTTATAAATGCGAGCTTTGCGCAAAAGTATTTAAGTGAGTATTTAAGTGAATGACAAAAATTAGAGAAATTATTTAGTAATTCGATGTCTATATATATATATATGCTGAAATTAATTGATAACAAATGATAAATGTTGCTACTGTCATTTTGTAGTTGCAAATCATCTCTAAGAAGGCATATAGAGGTCATGCATTGTATTGATACAAATTATAAGTGTACCATATGTGAGAAAGTTTTCAAAACTCAGAACTATTTGAGTTATCATGTAAACACAATTCATTCCCAAAAGCAGTATAAATGTGACCAATGTCAATTTACATCTGCTTATCATTGCTACTTAAAACGGCACATAAAAATACATAAAGGCGAGAAACCATATGCCTGCGAGGTACGTGCTACAAAATTATTATTAGTATTTTTTCTAATTATTTCTCATTTGACTGTTTATTTTTATCTTTCCGTAATAATAAATGTTCTGTATTTTAGATTTGCGGCAAAGCTTTCCTTAGAAAATATGACAGAAACAATCACAGGTTTATACATTGAGATAAAAAGCCGTATGAGTGTTCGATGTGTGACAAGGTTGAATTTTTAAGTTTGACTGTACGTGATGATTATATTTTTGTATGTATGCTTATTACTCACATATAATGTGATACATTTATATGTATGTACAATAGTACATACATATTATGTATATACTATTGTAAGCTAGGAAACATGAATTATATTAAAGCAATTGATATTATACAGCATTAGTAATTTGTTGTCTCGATTATTGAATCATCGCCATAATAATCTTATGATAAAGGTCTACGTAAAAACCTCTTAATATAAATATAGATAGACGTGCAATTTCGAAGAGGCAGAACTCCGTTTGCCAACAAATTAATTGCCTACAGTACCGTTTGCCTATATTTGCCGACAGTTGGTTTGCGCACAAAAATTATTTCCTCGATTGTCCACATGCACCATTTTCTACTTTAAAAACGTAAATTCTCGGTTTTAAAAACACAAATCATAATCTTATATTCATGTGCATGTAGGCGATCGATCTGTAAGCAACACGAAAAAAATATTTTACTGCTTCAGTTAGAATTATAGCTGTTTTTTGTATCTGATAGAATATTATGTATTATACGCATAGAATTTATAACAAATCTAAATTTTATCTGTATTATCTATATGATCAAATGCAATACATATCCAATATCGCAATACTTGCTAGAAATTTATCTATTTTAGCTATTTTTCGTACTTGCAAGGGGAACACTAGATGACGGTATCGGGGATTTTGATGCGCTTTTTACAGGCACTTTTCGAGCGAAAAAAAACGATACCTATTCGGCCGTTTCAGCCATTGACCCATAGTTTTGAAGAAATCGATTTTTTAAATAATTATTGTAATAATTTGAAAACTGTACTATGTATATAGAAAAATATCAATATCTTTCTAAATTTTATTTTATTTCATCGAATGTTAATGATAAAATTACACCTGGGTGGATGATTCTGAATTTCGAATGATGATTCTGAACGCAGTGAGTAGACCGCGTGCCAGTCGAAATGTTGTTCACTTCAGTAAGCATTCGACTCATTCGCGCGCGTAGCGATTCTCCGAACTGAAGAAGTAGTCCAATAAAATTTACCAGTGTGGGAACCGATGGAAATGTTCATGATGAAATCGCATATGCTAATAGAGTGGAAAATGCGATTATTGATGTTGGCAAAACAAAACATCTTTATCGCTCTCAAAACAAAATATAACTGATTGGCTAAAAATTTGTGGTCAAATTTTATACAAACTACAACTGGCTGAAAAAATGGAAAGTTTCAAATTTTCTGAAAGAGCAGAGATTATTGGAAAGAAAATTGCGGAATTTTTATATCAGAAATGATTCGTGATTTTCATTTCGAAGAAGATGAAGAATTACTTTTGGCGGAAGAATGCATCACACAAGAAGGTATTAACACGATTAATTCTAACATTTCATCACTACTTTATTACATTGACAATTGATAATTAATGAATTATTACCTAAATTAGTAATTGCCTATTTGCTATTAATTTATTCGAAATGTATTATATATAAATTACGAATCTTTTCTGTTACAAATTCCGCAATTTTCTTTCCAATAATCTCGGCTGTTTTAGAAAATTTAGAAATTTCTACTTTTTTAGTCAGTTGTAGTTTGTATAAAATTTGACCACAAATTTTCAGCCAATCAGTTATATTTTGTTTTGAGAACGATAAAGACGTTGTTTTGTCTTGTCCACCATCAATAATCGCATTTTCCACTCTATTAGCATATGCGATTTCATCATGAATATTTCTATCGTTTTCTACGCTGGTAAATTTTATTGAAATTCTTCAGTTCGGAGAATCGCTGCGCGTGCGAGTGAATCGAATGCTTACTAAAGTGAGCAACATTTCGACTGGCGTGCGATCTACAGTGCGATCTTTTCGATGAAATAAAATGTTATGTGTAATAATTCTTTAACAATAAATAATCTAAACAATTCATTTTTAGTTTGCGGACACAATATTCTTGGTTTTTTGATTGATGGCCGCTGTCAGCCAATCAGCAAGCGAAAATCATTTGCGATTCAGGGTATCAATCATGAAACTTTATTCCTGGGATGGAAAGTGAAAAGTGAAAATTTTAACCATTAATGGAGAAATTTTTCACTTTTCATTTTTCATCCTAGGGATAAAGTTTCATGATTAGTCGAGTAATGTACAAAGGCTGCAATATTCAGTATATTCTGCAAATGAGTAACGCTACAAAATATTTTATTAATGTCAAGAAAAAAAGTAACGACTCGTTATATTTTTTTTGAGTGATGATAACGAGTTACTTTTATGTGATAACGTTGCCAACCCTGTATACATAAAAAAAAAATATATATATATATATGTATATATATACATATATGTTCGTTTTGTGTCTCAGTTGTTTTCAAGATTTCGACGTGGTTAGTTGTCAGCAAACAATTTGAAATTCCGTATATATCGTAATAATCTTGATTACTATGTCTAAGCCGTAAGCTCATTGTATGTAAGTATTGTATGTAAGTTATTATATCATTAAAATTTTGGTTTTTATTCTAACGTCATTTTTTAATCTAGGCGTCATTCTAATTTTATAAATTTCTTTTTTTAATATTTAGTCTACCTTTGACACATTGTTCCATTTCTTCTCTTTTACTTTTCGTGACAACTATAATTTTATTATAACTTTATTGCCTGGAAACTGTTCTCATTGTCAAATAGATTTTAACTATTGTCGATTGCTCATTAAATTTTCTAATTTCTTATTAACAGATATTAAAGTACGACAAACAATTGTACGGTTTATTCTAAATCTTCCTTTCTTCATGCTTAATAATCATTTATACAATAGGTCTGTTTTCTGTGGCTGGACTAGTGTACCACTTTTGGAACTAAAAGTGAGATAGATATACGTTTGATATTTGTTTAAAGCGAGAAAGAAAGTTCTAGAACAGTCTATAGTATAGGAACAGAAAACAGACCAAAGATGTTGCTTTCAACCTTGATGGCGATTTCTTATTTACATGTTCCTGTTCGTACTCATTGTCCATTTGAATTACATTTATCTATTTTAACGTCTCATGTCTTCAATCTTACATTTTACTTGCGTAAATTTCAATCTAATATTTTATTTGCGTAAATTAGAAGAAAAATAAAGAAACATTCATATATAGAATAAAAATTTTTAATTACATATCGAGTATAACTAACGATAAAATATATCAATTTAGCAGTAAAAAGCGTTAAAAGATGATGGTAGACTTCGACAAAGATTTCATACAGTTATTTTCTTATTGTTAAAGTGTAAATTGATAAAATATATTCGATATCCACAAAGAACCAGTACACGTATCTTTGAAAATTCTATATCTAAATTGTCAATGTTACGTCGGCTGTTTTAGACAATGTATTCACTTGCCATTTTCAAGTGTTTTAAGCTGTTTAATGAGAAATATAATTATATGTTAACCGCGATCTTCCGTGATACAATTTCTTCGATAAACAATTTATGTTATTAAGAAATTATATTTTTTTACAGTTTTAGGTGGATATAAACTTAAACGAAAAGAATTTAGGGAACGTTAAAATAAAGTTAACCAAGGAATATATCTGAAGAGTTTGAGAAGTGAATTTGAAAAAAAAGAGGAATATCCACCAATCTCTAGTTTCGTAATATTTGAATCGATAGTCGAAGATAATGGATGACACAAAAAAATATGTATGCAATCATTGCGGTAAGATTTATATAGTTCTTATAATTGATATTTTTAGTGTTTTGGCAACTTTGTATTATTTCAACAGTTATCCGTTTTATGTTACCATTATCATATTCATTTTACAACAATAATCTTTCTTAATTTTAAAGATGAGCAACTTGCCACCTCGATAGCTTTGAAACAACATAATGAGGAGGTACATAATGAACTTAAACCCTATAAATGTAGAATATGTGATAAAAAGTTTCATTGTCATTCGCACTTGCATCTGCATGAAATGATTCATAGAGATGAAAAACCTCATCAATGCGATTTATGTGAAAGATCATTTACGTGAGTATTTAAGTGAACAACAAAAATTAGATAAATTATTTGGTAATTCAATGTCTATGCTTAAATTAATTGATAACAAACGATAAATGTTGCTACGATCATTTTGTAGTCAAAAAGGGAATCTAAAAAGACATTTCGAGGCGAAGCATTGCATTAATAAAGATTACAAGTGTAACGTGTGTGAGAAAGTTTTCGAAAATAAGTGGAGTTTGAATATTCATACAGCCACGGAACACTTTCACGACATTGCATAAATATGACCGATGTTTATCTACATTTACTCATCGTAACCACTTAAGATTTGATGTACGCACTGGCTATTATATTTATGTATGACTATTACTCATGTACTATTATAAATCGACAAACAAGAACTATATTAAAGCAACTGATATTAAACCGTTAGTAATTTGTTTTTGTCTCAATTATTCTATTATCGCCATAATATTATTATAAAGTTCTTTGTAAAAACCTTTTGATATATACAGAATAACGTGCTATGAAGAGGCAGGACTCCATTTGCCAACAAATTAATTATCACAGTACTGTTTGCCTACATCACATTTGCCGACAGTTTTCAAATAAAAATTGTCTTATATACTCGATTGTCTACATGCCCCATTCTCTGCTTTAAAAACTGTTTTAAAAACACAAATTATTTTCTTATATAGTTAACGTGCTTGTACGTAATCGATTTATAAGTAATAATACATATATATATTGTATTGTATTGTATTATTGATTAACATCATATTCCGGAACACACGACAAAATGATTGAAAAATAATTTAAAAAAAAAAGCTTTCCACCCCTCATTTGGGAAATAATTTCCTTATTTTCCTAAGCGATCACCCATCCGTATGTAAGCAAATGTGACTAGTTCGTCTCTGAAATTCTTATTTGTGCACAAAAGTGCTTATAGGTATAATCAATCTGCAGTGAATAATACTATGTGTGCAATATAGTTTGTGCGCAATAGTGTCATGTGTGCACACGCCTTTTCCTTTTAATTTTATATTTGTGTGCAATAGTGCGTGTAGGCAATCGAGCTGTGGGCAATAATTTCTGTGCACAAACCAACTGTTGGCAAATGTAATATAGGCAAATAATGCTGTAGGCAATTCATTTTTAAGCAAAGAAAGCCTTCTTTTCCGGAAAGCTTTCGCCCAAATTTATAAATAAGTTAGATTAAAAGCGGAAGCTGAATTGTAACAAATATAATTTTAGTATAGTTATTCAACTTCATCATATTACCCATACAGCACAGAACGTTGAAAGAATGTTACTGAGATATTGCAATGTTGAATGTTGAAGTGTTTTATCAGTGTTGTTATATTGATACATTGTCTTCAACATTGATTGTTAATGCTGCAACGTTGAAACAATATTAAACAAATTGGACCGCAAGTTGAATTTTTATTGATTTTTCCACATTGATTGTTAATGTTGCTGCAACATTGAAATAAATTATATATCGGATCTATTATATTTTGTAAAAAATGAACAAAAAAAAACAGAATGTCATGTAAACAGAAAATTTTAATTGTTTAAATTGATTATTTGACGAAACTCATTTCTAAACGATATCTGTATGTTTACGCGAGAACCGTCCGCGCGTGCAGAGCGCTCGTGCGTGTGATATTGTTTGTTTGTCCGATGCGCGACGTCGATTCATGGTCTTTGTACATATAGCTATATGTTACAATTATACTTCCACTAACATTCAGTATTCATAGATCATCGAAATAGTAATTCCCGTACGATAGAAGCCAACCATGCCACGTGGAGATACAAATTCGGATGGGTGACCGCTTAGGAAAATAAGAAAATTAATTCCCAAATAAGAAGCGTTTTTTTTTAAATTATTTTCAATCATTTTGTCACGTATGTTCCGGAATATGATGTTAATCAATAATATTTATTTTAATAATAAAATTGAATTAATTAATATAATGTCGCATGAATTACAACGTCTCACAGACATTGTAATTCAACGGACATTAAACGATTCTGCAACATCTCTTCGACTTTGAATCTACATTTCGCGATGTTACTGCAATGTTTGCAATATTGTAATTCAACGTTTCTGAGATATTGATTCAACGTTAGTGTGCTGTATGAATTATTCCATCATGGTTGTAAGTTACCGATTTCTTTTTTTATCAGCATTTGCTTAAGTTTTAGTTAGAAGCGGAAAAATTTGTATATATTTTATCAAACTGCTTTCACGTTGAGCGATGAGCAAATATTCCTGGATTTAGTTAATCGTGCTCCTTGGGAAGCAAAAAGCGCGCGCGTGAGTCACAATTTTGTTAATTTTCCCAATATCGGAAGATGTCATCATTAAATTTATGACCCTTTCTTAAGCTTATGTGTGGAGAACCATTATCATTGGACGAGCGTGATATACCATAGGTGTGAGATGATTAAACATTTCGCCTTCTCTCGAGTATCGTGGCCGCGCTATCACTCTTATTATCGCGGAAATTGATTCGCGACCCGGCTTAGCATCTTGGTGCCAACGGCGCGATTTAATAATAATTGTTTGACGATTTTCTTTTTCACGACGCTTGAAAAGAGACTGAACTTGATTTCCGATGCGTTGATGCTATATAAGTTTTATTATCGCGGGTCACTTACTTCTGAATAAACATAGTTTTTCGGCTGGGAAAGTTTCCTCGGATTCGTGTTATCGATCGAATTTGCTCGTGCCTTATTTTATTGAACGTTCGCGAAACGAAGAAATCATGGAGTCCACTGGACGAAACATAACATAAAATGAAAATTTTTTAAATTAACACAAATATTTTGTAAAAAAATTAACAAAATAATTAATTAATATATAATTAATTAATAATTAAGCATGTTTTTTAATAAAATTAATAGGTATTTATCTGATATGTTAAATTAAAATTCGCTTAATATAAAAATTTATTTTTCTATCGTTTAACTCATTTATAGAAGTTTCCAGTTTTTATTATATACACTATCTCAAATTTTGACTATGTCTTTACACGCTCTATTATATTGACTACGAGGGTTAATCATTGACGAGCATCTATCATCGAGATGCAATTCAACATTTTTTATCAGATCGGTGAGTCCTATCGGAGTGACATGTGTACTTGTTTGTCATCTAAAAAAACATTCATTCATTGTAAATAAATTCGTATTTTCACCAGAACATCCAGAATCTCTAACCAATCGGCCATTCAACCGCTTTGACGAGCAGTTTCTGTTCCTCTGATGGACTTACGTTTGGTATCTTAGTCACTCACACGTTCTACCCAAGAACATTTTTTTCTTGAAATGGTTAACATCTTTGCGAACTTTTAGTTGATTTTTGTCAATCTAAAGAGGGCCTAATACAAAGGTCGAAACATATGTAATGCTTTATTTAATTTATTTATTCTACATCAGAAACTATTGTAAGATATATAGATTATCATGTAATTTTATACGTTTAATGTTTTATGTTATAAAGATATTAAATTTTAACTCTTATATATGCCCTTTAATAATCATTATTAAATTTACATGTGTATTTCATTCATTTATCTTCGAATTTACATTTTAAAAAGACAGTACATTTATATTATTTGTTTACTTACTAAATTGCCTCATTTTGATGCAAAGAAATATTGAATATCGATTTACAAAATATTTAAACAACATAGTCACATTAAATTAATACCTAAATGTAAAAAATTCAACACAAAATTTTAACAAGGATTTGATTGGAACGTTTCCAACACAAATATAAAATATTTTTACTATATACTTTAAACGTGACATAACTCAATTTTTTTTTAGTTGTGTCACTTTTGACGTAAGAAAGCAAAATATCAAATAAATTAATTTAAAGTACTATATTTCTACGTGTTTCCGGAAAAAAAACGACATAATAACGTTTAATACATCAGAATAAACGTTACTGTGTCTTTCAACATCTGCTATTTAAGTTACAAAATTAATTTAACACGATAAAAGTACTAAGTTTGGTAGACAATGATAGATGCAATTGCGCTGACATTAAAAGAGATCGCGGATAAATTCCGGATTTACCGAATTAATAAATCTCAATCTACAGCCGCGAGAAGTCAATATCGCGCAATGGGACAATACGAGCTATCCCAAAATTAGCATAGAACTCGCTCCGATTCGACCGATGCCGACAGGTGAATCCATGTCGGGGAATCGCCGGTGACAGATCTCAAGTATTATACCATCAGAGACGCGCTCTGCGGTGCATACGATTGGGTGGTGTGGTGGCAACGATGCACTAGGACATAGGATAGATCGGCGGCCATGTAGATGTCGGACTATATTTGGGACGTTGAGCCACGACTACTTTACTGGCCCAGTTGGCCGTTGATCGGACCCCCGGACCCCCTCTGGCCGACTACTTATTTTTAGTTTAGGTCGCTAGCCGTGCGTCGGCCCGTGCTAAGATACACCGCCTGTGCATCGCGTAAATTGCACGCACAGGCTGTAGGCAGGTAACGACCAGCGACGCGCGGCGCGGACAGCAGCTAGGCGGCCGTGTTTATAATTAGCTCCAATGTTACTCGTTCAAGATTTTACATAAGTAGGACCGATCCGAGTTAACCCTGAAAGCGTCGTCGCGAGCGTGATATTCGGCGGATCTCGAGTCGATCTCTTCCTCGATCGATCGGAACCCCTGTCGTCGTCTGAGGCCAGATCCAGGTCGAGCGAGCGAACGCGAATAAACACGAGTGAATAATATACTTTAACAAGTCCGCTAATACTCGCGACATCGTTCACATGCTCATTGAAACATGTTCCTCCATTCGTGTTTGTTCGCGTCCGTTTGCTTAGTCTGGACGTGGCTTGAAGCGAATAGCAGAGAAATGGATGTTTAAGAATTGTAAGGATATAATGCTGCAGAATATATGAGCGATATAAACAGTTTACATTTACATATGAAAGAAAAAATGTATTACACTCCATCACTTTGTTAATTATGTGCGTAAAAGACAAAAGAATACGGAGAATAATTGCATGTTGAGTTGCGACATAAACAGAAATTGAAGAGTTTATTTTTCTACGTCAAACAGAATCGCGTAAAACGTAGAAATTAAAAACGATCTTAAAAATACATTCATAATCTCCATAAAATCTATCATCGTTTATCATAATATTTTTATCATGTGTATCGTTATCAAATATATCATTATCGTATTCTTTATATAATTAAATAAATAATGATGGAGAGTTTTCCAATTATATTGGAATGACAAATTTAAAATACATTATCTATGTAGTTTTTTTTTCCCCAATCATGCAGTTATAACTACGATTGTTCTAATAATAGTAATCTTCTAACATCATTATCAATAATTAACATTAAATCTATAG